TATATATATATATATTAGTAGTTGTTGAATAATAATTAGTGGCACTAAGAGAAGGATAAGGTTCTGTCAGTGGTTTCTATTAGTTTCTTAATTTTTTCCTTTAAATACAGCGAATAAAACATAAAAATGGAGCTGGAACGATGTTCGTAAGAAACCTCTAAATTTTCCAAAATTTTAAAAGTTTAAAATATCTGTGACATCTTTCTACATATACACTACTGTATTTTTTAAATAAAATATATTCCTGAATATTTTAGATCATTAAATCGTTTCAAATGCTTTCTTTGCACAATATTCCCAGTATTCCAGAATGTTTAGAAAACTCGTGATAATTTTCCGCAACAATGCAAACAAAATTTTCTCAAACAACTCCAATTTTGTTTAATAAAATTCCAATAAACTGTATAAATGCAATTTTCATTACAATTTTTTAATTAGTAAATATTAAATTCATGTTTTTGAATCACTCGTTGTTTTTGTGGTGAATAATGTTTTGAAGAGATTTTAGTTGGAGTTGCATAAATTATAAAATTGGTCGCCGACGAAGAACCGTTACAAATAATACAAGAAAATATGGGCTGAATTAACACCTCTAATTTATCTAGAACGGTACCAGAAGTCTCGATTGAAGTTTCCGGGCACGCCTATGTTTATCAGTCCCGTTAGTGTAGTGAATGCTTTAACCAGGAAGATGATTTGGTGATGACTCTTTCTCTGGGAAGATTGGGCGCCGGTTTGCGTCTGTTTCAGTCTCCATGTATCTACCCCAGTGGGTAATAGACCAAGTCGAGCAAGATCCAAGCTCCCGACTGATTTCCCGTTAGGTGAGCTATTATGTGCATGAAAGTTTGTGTGTGTGTGTGTGTGTGTGTAAGGGGGAGATAATAAGGTGAGGAAGAGAAAGGAATGATCGCGCGAGATCCATGACTTATTTGTTAGGATACTGCTCCAGCATTCACCTGGCGTTGATCCCAAAGACCACGAAAAACTACCTAACAAAGCATCTCATCGCTAGAATTCTCCTCCAAACAGCAGCTGAATTAGATACAGCCAACTAGCCAGTGTCGACAATCCGCGTCGGGACCGGAACCCTAGGACCTCCCGGCCAGAGCCAGCGGCAATACTTTCTGAGCCAAACTCAGCCGGTGGAAATTGCGAATGAGGTGCATTCCAAGGCGAGGAAAACGCGCAGGGCCTACCTGGTGACCCCGTCGACGATCTTGTGGACGGAGTTGTCGTTGCCCCCGCGCACGCCGTCTCGCGCCTCGGCCACCAGAGAGCAGAGCGCGCGCTGGGCGCAGGCGCCGGCGTCGACGCGGCCCCAGAGCCCTCGCAGGCCCCGCTGGCGCTCCTCCTCTGCGCAGTTTCATTTGTTGGTGGGCAAAGCTCAGGAAAAACTGATTGCAGAACAGGGGTGATCTGCACACGTTTTGCCCTGGAAACACTACCCTCTCCCTTTCACATCTCTCTTATACAGGCAGTAGACTCCCATACAAATGGAGTCATTAAATTTTGCCTTTAAGAAATGGGAACTCTTATTAGAAAAAAGGCAGTGTTCTTATTTTTATTCTCACTTGATATTATCTTACATTTCCGTTCTCAATTTCATGTACAAGTCCTTTTCTGTCTCCATATTCACATTATTTTTTTCTCTTAGGAGACACCACCATTTGAATGTTTAATAACATAAAAAGAAACACACTCTGCATCTTGAGACGTCAAGCTCCACCCAAAAGCAGTACTGTTCGTCAGGCAACGTCAACAATGCCGCCTAGATGCATTGCATCAAACTAATTAAGTAAAAATAATTTAAAAAAAAGATAGAACATTCTGAATTGTAACTCCTACATTTAATCTTTCTAATTGGGCACTTTCAAAAGTATTGGTGCGACAATACCGTATTAAAATGGTTCAAGTATTCCACAAATAGTAATATAGACAAACACAAAAACACACACACACACACACACGCACACACTAAATACACAAACATCATCGCATACATCATCATATCATCATCCACACCATAATATTCCCCATCTCTGAAAGATTGCTGGTGAGACGTTCGCAAAGGTGAGGAGGAACTTGCAGGCAGGATAACTTGCTGATGCGAGTTGGCGGAAATCTGCAGCAGCCTCCGAGATTATCTGAAGCCCTATAGCCAAAAACCTGGGCGAGTATAAGCAAGGTACGACGCGGAGAGACAAGAACTCTCGGAGATTCGCGACCTTAGACCGAGCTGACACGGCGGCTGAAGTCTAGTGAGCGGTAAGCAGGGAACTCGAAAGACCTGTTGAGCTAGCACAGTGTCTATCTGTACGGAGGACTATACAGGAGGCACACAAACTGCAGTGCGTCCGGCTTACCGACGGAACTAGCCAGGAGGGCATTTGAGGGAGGGCCGTGTTCGAGCATTGGGTGGGTAAACTGCGCGTTAGAGAGGAAGTAATTGTTGCGGAAGTGTTATCGTTGTTGGGCGTTCAGGACAATCTGGGCGCGCGACTGCCAAGGAACGGACAGCAGTACAATCCATGTCACCGATGCGGAGAAGACGGCCAACTTACGTCAGGCTTGCAAAAGCGCTGAGGCGAGGTGTGGGGCTCTGCCAAAGATAGGGAGAACACCCGCGGGAGGAGTTTTACGGTATCACGGGAGGTACCAAGTAGCAATGAAGGCAACGGATAACAGAAAAGGAGAGTTTCTGCCAGCATAATTTAAATCATTGCGAGGCGGCCCAGGACTTCTCACCCAGACGGGCGCGAGTGATATAGATGTTGAAATACTCTTGCGAAGCAGTACGAAATATTGTCAGGTCATATCAGTCCTGGGTTTCGGATGCGACTAACCGAGCTAGCAGATATGGACTATTGTGGTTAATAGTCCAGTCCAGCGGATGTTATGCAGTCCAAGGGATGGATTCACCTGGGATCAAAGGGTTCGGTGAATATTACTTTCATATGTGTTTATGCTAGCACCCAGTGCATCGCTGAGGAGTTTCGAGGGAATTACTCAGATCGCTTAATAGATGGCGCAGAACAGAAACGAAGGGCCTTCTTATTACGCTGCGGCGACTTCAATGCAGGGCACGGCAGATTGGAGGCAGCAGAAGTAACGAATCGACGCGGAGTGGCCTCCCTGCCGACAGCACTTTGACAGTTAGGGATGTCTGCCTCTGCAACGGGGGCCCGTCCGACCTTTGTAAATGAATGGATCGCAAGCTCGGTCGATATGGACCAAACTTTCGTACTGTAAAAAGCATGCTAGACGTATTGTATCATGGGAGGTTAGTGCACATTATTACCAAACATAGTGACCACCAAGCTAATTCGTGTATGAAGTGAAGAGCAGTGCATGTTGAGCTCAACCAAGGGGTCAGAAGGAAAGCTGTTTGGAACCACAGGACGTTCGATCTGGATTCCTTACATTGCCATTGATGGAGGGCAACCCTGAAGATATGTTGGCCGTGACTCTGAATATATTGTAAAACCGTTTTGAACCGGGTATTTGGACGGCTTGTAATGCGGCGTCATGACAAAGGTCCAGGAGAGACGACCGATCATCCAGTGTAAGGGTGGACTGACGAGATTCGCGGAACTTCGCAGAGAATGCACCGAACACGATAGGTTGGGCACAGCGCGCCCTGGAGCCGCCCAAACTTACGAACTTTCTTAAGAAAGCAACATCTGAACGCCAGAGAGCTTTTGCACAGCATATTAAGATTAGTAAGTGTCGTTGCGCGAGAGAGCATAGGGAGGAGGTGGATGCTGACCCTGGGACGCCCCGTAATAAGCTAGGTAACGGCCGACTAGGGGTATGTTCAGGCGACCACCCACGAATTGCCCGGTTTCTGGACAAAGTTGAGCTACCTATGTTATCCTCGCCCAGGTAGAATATGTTACAACCGAAAGGATTGTCTGAGATCTAGCGAGGTTCAGGGCATCACGTTTGGATGTGACTTTCCAGAGCTTGACGGCAAGGTCCAAGATTGCAAAGCCCCCGGATTAAGATCAGGGGTCCAAATGATAGCACATTAAGACGCTATTAAGACTCGGCCCGATCTGATTCTTGCGCGACAATTAATGCATGCATACAGAGAGAGAGAATTTCCCCCTGTCGATGGAAGCAGCAACGCTTTAGTCCTTCTTCGAAGGGAATAGGCAACCTTACTGATACCGGCAGCCTAATCGGCACAATATGCTTTATGGGGACACAGCAGGACAAAGGCGTTTGGAGCGGACATTATCTAGCAATCAGTAATAGTCATTCTACACGGGGGGCCTCAGGATTGTGTGATAATCAGTACGGCTTTTAGAAGCGAATCACGCGATAGCTTGCTATTAATGCAAACAGTCATCGACTCGGCACGCAAGCCAGTGAAGGGCAACACGATTGGAAAGGCGGGCTATGACAGTATTGCTGCACATAATAGTGCACCCTAGACGTTAAAAACGCCTTTAACACTGCCAAGTGGAGCTCCCTTCTTTCTGCGACAACCCAAACTTTATGGAGTTCAAGGGTACATCTCGAATTTGGTAAAAAGTTTACTTTAAGGAGAGAATCCTCCTATATGAACTGGGCTGGGAGTACAATCTTATACGGTCACAGGGCGGTGTCCCACACGGCCTTCGCGTATCTTTTGGTCCGATGTTGTGGAATTTTGTATGGACGGCCGTTTGAAGCTCGGTTGCCGGAAGGCGCAAGAACGATTTGGATTCGTGACGATGTTGCAAAATTGTCCAGTTGTACGGCAAATCATCGAAACAAGTCACGCAAAAGTTTCGCCAACGAGAGCTGTGCGCGAAGATCCGGCGGATGCTTACGTCGGGTAGGGCTACAGATTGGCGCCTAAAAACAGAGGCTTAGCTTGTGACGGGCAGAAAAAGTGGAGGAGTTAATACTCTTAATGTAGGAGGCTGACAAAAATTCTTCGCAAGCTGTCACTGAGGTATTTGGGGAGTGACCATATTGACGCGAAGGACTGTGCTTTGACGAGCACACTGCTCAAGTGTTCTCCGAGAAAGGCATCTCGTATGGCATCCGCATTGGCACGCACATTATGCTAAAATGTTCGCGGGTCCTGGGCAAGAAGCCGGAGGCTGCTGACTACGCGTAAAGTAAATTCCATTCTTCTCTACGCAGCCCCTATTTCGGGCTGATGCATGGAGCATTCAGTCATACGCCCGTGGGCTAAGTCGGGTGGCACTAGAAAGGTCCGCCTTGCGTGATTGCTCTAGCGTTCGCACCGTATACCTATGATTGCTAGTGTGGTGATATAAGCAAGGAATATTGGCTCCGAACATCGACCTCATTGACGCAGGACAGAGAGCTAGAACTCTATTTGCAGCAAGGCCGGAGAGGGGGCCTCCAAACTGGGAAATACCATCTACGAAAGAGAGAGGGAGGTGACACTGGACCAATGGCACGACGAAATGGGAGGCAATCATCATGGGCGATGGACATATTCGGGTTATTCCGAACCATCATTGACGTTGGAATACAAAGGGACATGGAGAATTAAATTTTTATTAACTCAGAGCTGACAGGGCATGGATAGTTATCGAGAGTATCAAGCTTCGTTCCGGGATTGACGACTAGCTCCTCACATGACCCAAGGCTGTTTCCCGTGATTGAGAATGCTAGAAAACACGATGTTCTTCATGTCCACCGCTTACGCAGTGGAAAGGGAAGAACCTTCACAGGACTCCCCAAGAGAAGTGAACCCCTGAGACTATCGTCACTGGATGCTGCTGCACAGAGAATTGGAGTGCGGTAGGCCACCTATGCCGCAAAGGGTCCTGGCAAGAACGACTCCGCTCCGAGAGCAAGTTACGAAGACAAGCTCCGTAAATATTTCGGATTGGACGTGCGAAAAGGCTACATCCTTCTTCTCGCGATGCATGCTGCGGCGGTTCCGCGGGAAGGAATAGGAGGGAAAGGGAGGGAGTTTTTAGTGGAGTAGGCATAGGCTAGCTATGAATCCCACACGCAGCGGGTTGCGGGCCCGCTGTGTCTTATAGAGAATTTTCCTGGACCCACGGTAAAAACACACACAACACACACACAGAATATATATATATATATATATATATATATATATATATATATACACATACAAACATTGAACGTTTATTAACAACAGATTTTAGGCAACAGTTGTAGCAGTGTTTCCCACGTAATGCAGGGCAATGTGGGGCGAACGGTACCTCTGCCGAAGTTGATCTCCGGGTGGAGGCCGTCGAAGATCTGCGGGATGAAGAGCAGCGCGGCGAGCGAGAAGACGGCGCCCGCGCCCAGAGCGCCCAGGTTCACGTCCACCAGCGCGTCGTCCGGCCGCCGGCGCCCGCCGATGGGGATGGACACGAACGGGATGGCGAACGTCAGCTCCACCTGCGCACCCACGCCCGCAGGCTCACAAACGGCTCGCGAGGTAGCGGAGGGGCCTACTCACACAAGAAAGTGAATGTAACTCCCAACATGACTTGGTTGCAATGAACGTGTTTGTGTGAAAAAAAGGTATTAGAATGAATTGATGCCTCATGAAGTGAACTGCTTGAGCAGTAATTAAAAAACGCCCTCGAGACTATGGCAAACTGATTACAATTTGGTCTTTTTTTCACTAACTTCCCCCACGTGGCATTTACAAATCAATTGTCTGAGCACTAGTATTTTTTCTCAGCGATACAAAGAGATACAATGAGATGTGCGAATGGAGGAGAATGGTTATTATAAAGTGGATACAGATGTGACAAGAAGTACAGAGGAGAAATTAATCTTAATGGTGTGAAGAACTGCTGCAAGAGCGGTGGATACGTCCAGAGGGAAAATTATGTAGCTGATATTCTACGATGCACAATACTGAACTCGTGTCTGAGACAAAGGCGGTCGTGAAAGTGGAAGTACACAAGGCAGCCTCGGAAGCCCCCATTGGTGACAGAAGACATATTTTCATGCGAAGGCGCAACTACACTGACAATTCTAATGAATTCTTTCACGAAACGGGGAATTTCGTGACATGTGATGAAGGCAAGCAAATCACGGGTAATATACGCCACTAAAAGGAATGAGGTAACGAAAAGTGCCACACGCGGTATCTACCACAGGGCTCCTTGGCGCCGACACTAACTGCGTGTTCGTCTACGTCTGGAAGCACTGTGACAATCGGCTTCTGAAGGTAATAGTTTAGTGATGTAACGTGAGACGAATACCGATTTTATTCCGTCGTCAATTTCTCCTAAGACTTTTACCTGCGTTCCAAACAAAAACTACATCAAAAAAGCTCAATTGCCTGTCGTTATATTTTTATAGTGGCTGCAACGAAGAGTACGGATTGGTATTTGTTCGTGGAAAATCACTCTTCACACACATGCTTCTTACATTTTTTTATTGTTGAACTAGTCAGAGAAAAGGAAAGGAAAGCTTTGTATTTTGGAATTAAATTGTGTTCAATATTCTTAATTTATTGAAATATACGAGTGTTTCTACGTATGCCATGGGCTCCAAGGAGAAAGTTGTTCCTTTAAAATATGTAGATTTAAAATAATCATATTTTATTTAGATAACATACACTGTTCCGATGATTCTGCTACGGTCATCTGTGTTCGTCGTTTTCTCTCGACTGCTGTGAGAAAATATGTTTGCGTTAATCATGAATGAAAAATTGGTACATTATAGCCTCCCTCTCCCTCCGTCCGGGATGCCATCGGGCTGAGCGTTTTCAGGTAGCCAAACGTGATGCGGGTGCGAGGGAAAGCGTGTCACGGGATGCAATCGGGCGATTCCATGTAATGCGAAGTCCGCACGGTTGCAGACGCCGCGTACTGCGAGGCAATAAAGGTGCTCTGTCACATTCCATGTCGCAGTAGTTTCTCCAAGCTAAAGCCAATGTTTTTCCACATGGCCCTGCATTCCTGGTGGCAAAAGCCTGTTCCAAGCGAAGCTTGAATTTGAGTGGGACTACGATCTGCCGAGAGATTCCGACAAGTACTTCGTCGTCTACACCGATTCGCTGGAACGCACAAGGTGCTTGTTGATGTGTTGGAATTGGCACTGATACGAAAAACAGAACCGATACGGCTGCAGTGAACTTGACGGTTTAAAGCGGAGCCAAGCGCCCGGTCAAATATCAACCGTGAGAAAATATACGAAAAGTTTCGAGGGCACGTTTTACAGCCAGATTGTTTAATGATGATGGTTCTATTAGACAAGAGGGAAGGGCGTGTGAGAAAGAGGAGGAAAGTCGATATATGATTTAAAGGTAATAATGTGGGTTATGCTAGAGAAAAAAGAAGATACCTAAATAGACAAATGTAGAAAGTAGAAGATAGAATTCACCCAGTTTCCTGCAGCAGAGAACATTATAAAATTTTCGACCACTTTATTATCTAATTCAAATATTACCTAAATTAAATTACTAAGCATTTGATTATCTGAAATTATGTGAATATTACAAGAGTTAATTTACAATAACTGCACATTATTATTTTCCATAAGTTCTTATCCCAGAATGTATGCTACAGATATAGGTAGGTCCGCCCCTAATACAGTTTAATTATTTACAGATTTATTTAACTGACATGTGTTTGTGACGTTCTGGAAAGGGGAACGTCACGAATAAGTACAAAAATTCCACGAGAAAGCGCGGTAATGGAAAACAGAATTCAGTATCCAGTATTTGGTCTCCACTATTTTTAATACACATTATAATATCATATGAAATTTCATAAAACTAACATAACCGTGAGAGTTCGAGATTCAGCACGTAAAAATCTCATTTTTTGAATTATTTCTTGAGGATTGCAACTCGATGTATTTGGCATCGGAACTCATGTTTTTAAGGCACTATTTTTGAGTTATGCACGGTCAACAGAAAACCAATAGTTAACTGAGTCGTACGTTGCGTGATTGTGGTTTTAAACCCACTCAATTTAGACGTTTTTCCGCAACAATTGATATTTTTAAAGCTAACTCACAATTCTCTTTCTTTTGACATATCGATTGCAATGATTGGTTGTCTCCGATTGAAATTTAAGTACTTTTGAAGGTGATCCCCTGCAACGGAGTTATCCAATCGGAAGCTTCAATTTAAAAAATTGAAGCTGATGACCTATTAAAGGTCACATGAACTTAAGTCAAATGTACTTAAATTTTAATCGTAGAGTAGTGCAATAAAACGAATCTATTCCTCAGAAGTGATATAGGTGTGCCAAAGCCAGCGAGTGAAGCGTACCCGTAGGCGCGTGCGTTTCTTGCTGAAGCTGAAGAGGCGGTTGCTGCCGTTGGAGGGGGAGGAGGGGAAGGTTTCCCCTCCGAAGAGCCCCAGGGCGAAGGGCGCACATAGCAGCTGCAGCGCGCCCGCCGCAGCCACGCGCATCGCCAACATGACTCCACACGCACGCCTGAAATGCAAGGAGCGCTCAACGAAATCTCTCCCTCAAGTGGCACATGCCATTCATCCCACCGAAAGGAAGGTGGTCCAAGATGGGTTCTTCATCAGAAGTAACGTGCGCTAGAAAAGTCTGTCCGCACCGAGCCGAATCAGGGGTTCCAATTAAAACGTGCATTATGGTGGTAGCCAGCAATTACTGAAGAAACAAAGAAGGGGGACAACATTTCCAGTTATGATTGTGGTGAGTACGCAATTTCACGTTTTTCATTTGTTACACGCTGCAGCTCGTGCTACCAAATAATTTATGTTGCTAACTCTCCACCCTGCCATGCGCCATTGCGGAGAGACTTTGTGACGTAATGGATATCACGCGACGACGCAGACACAGAGCTTTCATATAACAATATATTTATTAACAAAGAAACAAAACAATATATACACTTAATAATCTATTACACCCTAGCTCTGATAGACCTACCATCCCCTGATCGCGGGACCGATCCAAACCCGATTGAAGATGGTTTTGGTTGTGGCATTCGCCACTCCTACTTTGAAGCGCGCACAAAAGCCTATCTTCCGTGACCGATTTGTCACGCCTGGACCAAGTCCGTTTCTGGCGCACCAACGGCTGGTTTGGCCTCGATCGCAGAAGCGATCTTATCCGATTGAGAATCGGCGTGAATCGTGGCACTCAACCACTCTCCACCGCGGAGCACGCACCAGCATCGCTCCCCGTGACCCGCAAGTCCACCAAGGACCTAAAGTACGCAGGCTTCGTCACCTAGTGACTCGAGCCTCGCGGCCTGGCTCGCATATGCCACGTAAGTGGCGCCAAGTTTTGTGCACACGCACGAGGTTCTCCCACTGTCTCCAGAACCACCAAATGGCTCTGTACACTCTGTTATATAGGCGAGCGACTACGTGACCTACTACGTCAGCCACCCCTCGTTGTATAACATAGTGAAAGTTTCTCATAGCGGAAGACGCGAAGCCTTGGTGTCTCCCGTTTCCGCGTTCTTGTCTTATAGAAAAACCTTCTCCTGTGCGAGGCTAATCCTCTACCAAGCGTCCCCAAATAGATGCCATGAGGCACGCTGGCTAATACGTTACACTTTACTCGCTCACTATAGAATAGTTTTATATTTTCACGTTTTCTTGAACCCCGGAATACCTACTCCACTCTTCTAATAATATTAGTTGAATTAAACATACATGACAGCAACGTGCATTGTTGACAAAATCTGATTATCTGAAATGTTTCCACTAGTGTAATAAAAACTATTTTGTATCGAAAAACAAGTTACAGCTTTGATATAATAGTCCTGTCGTCGAAATAAACAACCTTCTCACCCCTCTCGCGCCTAGTTCAACACAGCGTGCGCGGATAATGCATGCTAAGTGGCTCAAAGAAGAAGCTGAGCACCGCCCGGGGAGGCTAGGGCGGCTGGAAGAGGAGGTGATGATGTGTCGGGAGGTGAGGCATTTGCCCTGCAGGGAGACAATGCTCCAGCCTATACGACCTTAATCTTGTTAGTTGTTTTGTTCGCTGTACTTGATTTTGTATACGGAACAATCTGTTTGTAAGTGCTATTGTTGCCTCATATTAAATAATCAACCTGTATTTTTATTCAAATCTGCTATCCAGGATCCTTTAATTTAGTGTATTGCTTGTTACTGACAACTGTTAGACCTTGAACAATGAAATGATATAATTTTATTTGTCCTTATGTCACAAAGAACATATTCAGGAGGACGTTCAGACCTTCAAATTTCACGTCCCTCAGAACATGATTTTCCGTAAAAAGGAACCTCCAACAAATTAGAAATTAAGTCAGTATTTTTTCACTCGGATTAAATATTTTGATTATCATTAAAAAAGTATTCGTCAAAAATACCTTACATAAAAGTAATGCGGTCACAGTCCTTCAAAAAGCGCAATCTTCTCTCTTCGTACCTACAATATAACCGTGTGAAGTTGAAGTGTCGCAATTTGCGCGCCGCATACTGCGTACCGCGAAGTGATAACCCCTATTAACGGGACGATAAATCGCATTTCCATTACATAATCTTACTTTGTTAACGTCAATAAATGTTTCAAATATCATTACGGTATTATTAAAGCTTATTTTATTTGTAATTAGACTTTAAAATCTCGAAATAAGAAATACTTATTTACGTAATACGCATTTTACATATGTTCAATCTCCATGATAACATCACAAATTTTATTTCCCTTTCTGTGTTCTCACTTAAGTAGCGTGCTGTATGTTACGAACCACATAACGTCGCTCAATTTACGAAAATATGAAAGAAATCTATATTTTACTGTTTACTATTAAAATTACATTTGTTAAATTATTTAAGAAATCTATCTATACATGTCATTGTCGATAAAAAATTCTGTATTAAGAACTTCGTTTCATTAAAAATAATAACTCTTACCTTGATCTAGAGTTTGCCAACTCCTCTTGAGTCGTCAGGAAGCTTCAGCACTTAACAAACACGCCCGCCGCCACAAACCGATCTCCGATCGTGAAGGTTAATGCCTAGCACAGACGTTGCGCCGAGAAGATGTATAAGAGCGCGTCGCGACGCGTCCGCGGGGCGTGTGCGGGGCGCGCGCGTCTTCTGTCGCATTTATCGCCCGCGCGTCGCCGAGCCCCGCCCCCTCAAGCAGTTAACGGTGCACGTGGCTTTCGCCGCGCCGCGCCACGCCCTCACGTCTACGTAGATGCTCATCTCAGTTAATTCGCGCTTACGACCTCGGGCGTGGGGATGATGTATCTTAATTTGATGTACCGCTTGTCGAAGACGTTGGAAAATGCACTTCTGAGGAACGCAGCCATGTCGCGTTGTATTAATCTTTATAATACAGTATACAACATAATATACTATATTACAAACGTGCTATATATTTGTAACACAGAACACGTTTATAATGTGTTCAGATTTCTCCTCACTTAAAGATAAGATCAATATCGTTAAAAATATGAAGTAAGAAAGTCATTCGTTATTTTCTTCGTAAGAGCCAGACATAGATGAAAGAGGGTAGCTGGATAAAAATGGCAAAAGTGGACCGAGAGTCGATAAAAGTGTCTATAAAATATAATTAAGAAACGAAAATTGCAAGTTTGAAGCATTTTAATTTTGAAGTTAAATGGAATCCAGGAAACGAAGAAACATTTATGAGGAGTTAATTTTTGAATTAATTTTTGCTGGCAATTTTTCAGTTCCTGAAATCACCTTCATTTTAAACTGTGGCTTAATGTACTTTTTAATTGAATTTTTAAAACTAAAATTTGGATAAAAAGTGTGTTTTCCTTTTAAAAAATCGTTCTTTAAAAAAAGTTCTTCCACTTATTTATGGAAAAATGATTTTCTTGCAGATATGAATATCTAAAGTATCCTTGTTTTTACCTTACCTCACTACGCACAACGCGATTCATGAAGATGGGCATTCAATTGTGATGTTTTCCAAAATTAGGGAAGGTGAGAAGAAAGAACTGAACCATTCAAATGATTATCGTTTATTTTCAACACCAAAATTTGAATTTTCATATTTCAAAACTTGGTGAGGAGAGGAGTCATGTCACATATTCTCACCGATTCTAAAAGTATTTTCTGTTATTATTATTATTATTATTATTATTATTATTATTATTAATATTGTTATTACTAATATTCTATTACTTGTATTATATTTTATTACACGTTGCGAGATTGAGAATACAATACAACACAATTTTGTCGTTGGTACAGACTACTAATTTTCCAATTATATCCTCGAAAATACACAAACGTACGAACGCGATGCTCGAAATAAAGATGGCGATTTCATTTTGATTATGTCAATCTCTATTGTGGGTTCAAACTCCCGCTTTCTATAGAGGGCGACGTTCTGCGCGTACTGGTTGTGTATGGAGCTGCTCTCAGACGCGACCGCGAACCGCGACCGAAACAAAGTAAAGCGAAGGACGTTTGCGTGTGACAGCCTCCGCGTGTTATCCTTTCACTTTTTCTCGCGCGCGCATTTGTAAAGAGCGAGGTCATGAACTTCAACCACAGCTTTTCAAATGCGGGGGAAAAATGGTTTTCTGCCGCGAAACCGTGTTTAGACCATTTGGGACTGTACTTACTCGTGGTATCAAAAACGAAAATTGTATTTATTTTGTAATAATGCTACTAATGCATTAGGTGTGTTTTGGATTGTAGAATTCTAAAATAATGAATATCCCTGTCGTGAGTATTGTAATCAGCTTCTTTGTCAATGACCCCACATTGATCAGGAATTTCGTTTAGTTTTCTTTGATCCATTGAACCTGTGATTTGCTTCCCAACATAGCGCGTAGCTTTCACCCTCCCAAACATCACTTCCAGATTTGACGGTTTTTAGCGTTAAATTAAGAAATTACGCACTCAAACGCAGGAGACAGTAACTTCAAAACAATTACAGCTTTCTTATTTTACTACTTTTCTATCTGCTCAAGACTAAGGCAATATTGGAGCATATTCTTTTGGAACAATATATTTCATGCATAATAGGGCGATTCGATATTTTTCGATTTGTAGTTTTAGAAGTTTTAATTTTTGATTTGTAGTTAATTTACATCCTTCCAGCAAAGACTTTTCACAAAGGAACACGGGACAAAACATGTTGTTTCTTATTGATTAATTTTCTGAATACTTCCTTTTCCTGAAGTACATCATTACTAGTCATTGTTCATGTATATCACAATGTGTATGTGACAATATTTCTTGAATTTCTATCATGTTCTTTAAAATTTATTCAAGATTAGCCCTTGGCCCTCTACTGCCACGTAAGACTTTTCTGTAATATCTAATGGTAAATGTATTTACATATTAAGAATGCTTTAGTAAATACTGTATTCTTCTGTTATCATTACTCACGCATGTACATCTGTTTTTATTTTAATTTGTCTCTATTGTAGCCATACTCGTTTTATACAGTTTCTATACACTACAAAAATATTGCATAGTGATCGATACGAAAGACGCGTATGAAATGGGCGATGAGTCAAGCCTTAAGTAACCAACCTAAGCATTCTAAAACAATATAAATTGTAATAAAACTAAAAAATTAAAACAAATTCTGATTTAATCTCTTCAAGTAGACAATTTTCGCCGGGCAATAACCATTGAAAGAGCTACTCAATATTTCTTTACCTTAAAAAAACTTAAAGAAAGTTGGAAAGATTAGTTGTTCTCAAGGGTTTTAGCATAGTGAACTATATTTCGTATGTTTAGTTCGAATTAACAAACATGATTTGAATTGTATGGATGAATTCATTGATATTATGTTGTACGTATTCATTTTGTGAATTTGTGAATTTCTTAGGCGTTTGACAAAACTAACAAAATTAGTAGGAAATAAAATTAGTAGGGCAAGAAGATACGAACGGAAATACGAAATCTTAGACTAGAGGTGCTGTGACATCAAGCCAAGTTTATTACATTCGAAAAATTTAAATTCAACGACCTTTTTTAATGACATTATGTAATAAATTACATTATTTTGCCTGTAATTCTTAACAATACTGATAAATACTGTCAAAAATACCAATTAACAATAAAGTTTCTTGCCTAAAACATTTTTGGTAATGCGTAATTAATATATATATATTATATATAAGATATATATAAATATATATAATATATATATATATATGTATATATATATATATATTATATATATATATATATTATTGTGGCCTTTGAGCCATGCTCAGAAACCCACCAACACCCACGCTGCTTGGACGATGCCAAGACGGGCCCCTCAACACAGGCGCGCCAGAGATAAGGGTCCGAAACAGCGCAACCTGTTTTCTGCGGCCTGCGGCTTGACCACTGGACTTGCGGTTCACGGCAAGCACGGAGGGGTCAGTCGTGACGTCATGTCACTCCTCTAGGAGAGGCCGGGCAACTGACCTTTCAGCCCTTCTTGAAACACACGTCCAAATGTTCGGACGAGTGCCGAGAGTGAAGTCGGTGAAGAGGGAGAGTAGCCATTTTGTTAAGAGAGTGCGACTAAGAGTATCTAGTTATTTAGAAGCGGACTGTAGAGCGGCGAGAAGTCAATAACTTGAATTGTATTTGTTTTAAAGCAACAGAACATTACATTACATGAACTGTGTGGAACTGCGTGAACTAGTGGAAAGGTTAGGACGCAGAAGGATAGTAGCCACGAGAACGAGGGCCGTGAACTATAACAAGACGTTTAATGAACTGTGTATTTAACAACACAAGCCCCAAGTGTTGTAAAGAACGCCGAAATACGTCATTATTAATTATGCGTAAAGACGGAACGTGGATTCTGGTGCCAGCCGTGAATAAACGCGAGAAGAAAGGAGAGTAGACGTGAGTCTGGAGGGAGCAATTAGCGGACAGCGGTTTCCAGCGACATCGCGGATGCCTAGACTGCGGAAGAGGTCGGCATAACCCGCTGCTGAGAGCACGACGGCAAAAGTAAAAATAATTTGAAACGGGAACCTAGGCCAGGCGTCGCTGCGAGCAAACCAGCGCGGCAGAAGAAAGATTGAACTCTAGCAATTTTGCATAAACTAGTAGACTTCGTTGCGGTCAATGTTACGAGTGAAACCCGCAAAAAGGCGCCTTGTAATCCGTGTAGTACGTTTCATTTATGTATAATTCTGACAGAAAATTCATTGTAAATAGTTACGTAATATAATTAGCAGTTGTGTTAATTTGTTGCAAGCATTCTGAACTGGCATATTTAATAGAGCGTAAGAAATAATTTCATCTGTTTTTTGGTGATTGAGTAAGTAAATTGATATTTTACAAACGTTGCTGGGCAAGCAAATAATTACCGTGCAGGGGTTTTCATATACTGTAGTTAGTTTGAAAAAATTAATAATTTAAAAGTGTTAAAACGAGTGTTTGTAATTTTAAAGTGTTTCAAAGGTGATTCCATTTCTTTATGATTTATTTCAAAGTATTGTTTATTCATTTGGTTTTGTGTTAATCAGTAACTGCTGTAAATTGAATTATAATTTGAAGAATAGATGCACTGATTTGCCTATTTCTGTGTCTTTGGAACTCTCACACCCTACCCCCTGCCCCCTGATATCACAAAGCTCAGTATGAGAATTCATTCAGCCGCCCCCTCCGTCCTATCTAAGTGGGCCTTCGGTAGTTGGTAGTTAAGCCAGGAAGTGTGGTCACACACGGTACGAACGATCATGAGAACCATGCGATCCCGTCGGACGATGTGGATTTCCCTGACGCGCGGGTGCAATCTGTTGTGGCCGGTGACTGCCGAAACTTTCATCGGGAGTTTTGCGGCTCTTGCCCTGGTATGTTGCCACGAACGCGGGGGACATTTTGAGCATATTGTACTTTCGGTTTAAATGGTGATGGTGGTATAGCCCGAGTTATGTTATTTCATGACCTTGGTATGACTCATCTCTTTGTCCTCTACTCGGCCAGCCGAGGTTTGAGCTTATCACCGGCGCCGCCGTTCTCCGGTAGAGCTGTTATCACAATAAAATATTATTTCCTAGTCGCTTGGCACAAAAGTTATTATTCTCATTCATTACAAAGCAATTGTTTGCAAATGGTTGACGTCGTACTAGAAGGCGAATATTGGGTTTTCATTATAACTGCTCTTAATCGAGTACGCGCGGTGAATCGGGAAACGTACAATTACCACTTTTCGTTACAAAACCACCGTGTGGAAATGTGAAATATGGGTTATCATCATATTTCTCGAACTTCCAATCACTGTGGTACTCTCCGTGTGCGGGTATAAAAAGACGTTAGGGGTATTCAAGAACAGTCTTAAATGATACTTCTCCACTTTCTGTGTGGCAATTATCAGTCTTTTAGAAATAGGCAGGGTCTGAATGGAGTCAACTTTGCTTCTTGTTGAGAATTATGAAAAAACGTTATGAAACCTAGTAGGAGTATTTTAAGATTATTGAATTTTTAATGTTTACGATAAGGATCTATTCATTATTCACATTTACTATTGAGTAGATGTTAATGTTGTAAATTACACGTAGTGGCACTGGATCGTCTGTAACTCGGTACCCGATGAAGGAATGCTAACAAGTCAGCCACTATGGAGCTGGCCGGTCTTTAAATGAAATATTTTTTGGTACTGCATACTGTCCCTACCTTAATAGTCACGTTCCTAATCTTTTCACGCCGTTGCTATGATTCGTTATCAGTCATTACTGATATGTAAGTTTCATGTTACCTTTAATTTTTCTTCTGTGGTTAATGAATGATATTTGAAATTAACCTTATTCAAAACGAAATTTAAGTACTGTTTCTTTTGTGAATATTCTTTCAGCAACGAATGTATGCGTCAAAACAGATGTTTGTGTACTGATAAAGAATCATAAAACTTGAAATACTTTTTTTGTATCTTATAAATATGAGAGAAAATCTGAAAAATGGATATGTGATCGAAGTATTCAGTGTTGAAAATAAGAAACTCGACTATTTTCATAAAGTTTTTACAAAAAAAATATATTTAATTCTTACATTAAACTATTGTAAGCATAAAATCATGTAAACACCTATACTAGCACTTATTCTTAACATAACATTTGTCTAAATAAACGTAGCATATACACAGAAACGATTTTATTGCAGTGCAAATTAGTCAGTTCTGATTTTAATTTCATTTTCATATTTGTCTGTATGTAAAGTTTTTTGTAAGGTTTAGAATATTTGCTCATTAATTTTTCAACAATTATATTAATGTTCTAAATATTATATTTCTCTTATGGCCAGAAATTAAAATTCTGTGAAGTCAAATATTATCAACAATTATACGCCACGCGATTTTGCAATAAATATATCTTTTTCTGCAACACGTTCTCTTATCGTTCAAGAATCTTATAAAAAACGGCAATATTTTGATTCGAACATTTCTTCAGTGACCTGGGCACTCCCATAGACACTTTAAGACTGTTCTATGGAAATCTTAGCTTTTTATCATTTTTGCAATGTTCATAGCCATGTTCTTCAACCCTCTTTGTGTTACTGGACAAGAGCTGTAGAGTGCCGAACAATTTGCTCCGAATTTTCCGCTGTCAATCGCTTCTTGGAAGGGCGAATTTCTCACGGCATTTGATAGCCATTCATTGCTGCAAAAGAAAAATATTGTGGATTAATGCAAACTTGACATGTAGAAAAAGTATTTTAGTTGTTCTAAATCTCTTTACAGGAGTATCTTATCAACACCAGCCTCGACAGGCGAAGACGATATTCCTTATATGTATAATCATCTGGCCATTTCGCGCTCGCTCAGTCATTTGCCATGGTTTCTCCGCGATCACTGAGCGATGAATGGAGCAGTTTCGTGGAGAGGCATCGCGTTCATTAAACGCAAGTAGTGATAGCAGATACAAACATCTGTAGTTTCTATGGTTCGTTAATCTGTTTTCCAATAACACTGATGTGCGTCCCATTGATGTGTGCCCTTTGGAATTGTGCACGATACAAACAGTAGTGATGAAGGTGTGCATTTATTCATTGGTCTGTGTTAATTCTTACACTAGGTGACTACAGAATTCAGTAAAGCATTAGCTGAGACAGTCAATGTATTTCTGTTTATTGTAACTTTTTTGTTAATAATAACTTCTGCTGCAGGATATATTCAAGTATGTACGTCAAGCTGACATGTCGACTTCTGCATGTCGACGACTGATTACGAATGCCTTTACAATCCCTACGTAATTCCCTTCACTTGCAGGCAAACACATTTTCAGTTCATTAATATATTAATTCGTAATAACTTGGTCAGTCCTACTTCAAATGGGGACTCCCACAGCAGGAATAAACAGGCTCTTATTTTTGTATCATTGACGTACATTTTTGTTGCAATAAATTTGAGGTGTTTTTGCCTGTGAAACTACATATCACGATTTTGTTTGTGCTTTTTCTAATACTTTCTGATTAACTTAACTGTTGACAACACCTACCTTCTGTGACGCTCGCCGCAGTTTAGCCTACGTGAATGAGTTGAGCGTGCGTTTGGGAAGGGGGCCAAGCCTCACCTGATGACTCCGTCGACGATCTTGTCGACGCTCCCCGGCGTGCCGCGCTGCAGCTTCTCGAAGGAGGAGGCGACGAAGGAGCACAGCGCCCTCTGCGCGCACGCCCGCGCGTCCACGTTCTGCTCCCGCAGCAGCTCGTCCACGCGCGCTACCGCCGCGCCCCAGGCGCCGGGCCCGCCCTCGCCTGCCGCACACACACACTCATATTGGCTTTGAACATTATTATTAGCGGAGGGTTCGTTAACATTATATAGTGATGCAATGTTAAAATGTGAAGTACATTCCATACGTCACATACAGTTTTTTTTATTTATCTAGAAATAACTTCAGGTTAGTTCTTATTAAAAATTTCTAGGACATGTAGGAAGTCAAAAATGATAATGATGATAATATGTAACATTTCTGACAGTGCCTTGGTGGTGCACAGGTTGACGAACACTTGGCTGACTTCCTGCTCATTGGCAACGACAGTATTATTTGTATTTATTGTTGTAAAATAAACATAATATCTGCAATGAAGGATATTAATAAATTGTCGGATTTATGAACGAACTCGATCCAATTATCCCGACTTCATCCTGAGGCGAATCCAGAAAATTAAGAAAACGGCGTCGTTTTTAAAAGTATGTACGTACTATATTATGGAAGGCCCAAATAAAGTAACAAATGTAAATGCGTGCACACAGGGAGATGGAGAGATACGTGGTAGTTGAAAATTGCCTTCAGACTCGGGAGGCGGGCCATCTATGAAAAGAAAATTAGAATTGACGTGAATTTGAAATTATCAAAGACTCAATACGAGGAGTCAGAGGATTACAAAGCACTGCACCAGTACCTCTAGCCGTATTTCCAGTCACGACAACTGTTATGGTTCTGATAATATACTGAATGTTTTATCCTGGAAAGTGACAGAGTTCCTCACTGCTGAATGATTTTCGACGCCGACCTACACGTAAATTTGCGGGGGTACTCTAGGTATCACCCCTCTAGGCATTGCCCCAGTCAGGATTGACTAGCAGAGATGAATTTTGGGAAGGGAAATTCAAAATGCTTTCGTCGAATATGTCTTTACAGATTTTGTAAAATGTCGCAGGCTACCCTCAGTGCATGCTGCAATGCGATTTTATTCGTTTGAATGATATTTCTAACATATTTTTTCTTGAAAGTTTCTTGACAAGTTAAAATTAATAGTTACTGAAAAAATGTAGGGGGGGATTTAACCTGCACGTAACGGTAGAGAATAGGACAGAGAAGAAAAGAGAAGAAATAATCGCGCGTGGTCTACAGCTCGTTTGTTACGGTACTTCTTCGGCATGCGTATTGTAGTGATCTTAGAAACCAAGGAAAACTACCTATCAGAGCAGCCGGCCGCTAGAATTCTTCTGCAGACAGACTCAGTTCGACCTAGCTGTATATAAATAACTTTTTTTGTATCTGCATTTGAATAGCGCATAATTTGCCGATTTTTTTGCTGTTCTTAAGATGTAAAAGCACACAATTTTCTACGGATCGTATTCTAAACAAAAACAATCGGTGTTCATGCTAATTATCATTGGAAGTTAGCAAATTCACATCTCTAAATTCACTAACATAGCAAGTATGCACAAAAAAGCAAGTATACTCAGAATTTGCCGCTTTTTATTTCTAATCAACTAGTGAAGAAATCACACACACACACACACACACACACACACACACACACACACACACACACACACACACACACACACACATATATATATATATATATATATATATATATATATATATATCATTTAAAAAATATTAACAAATAAACATTAAAGAATTGCTCAATAGCTCATTACTAAGGCGTTGAAATTAAATCCAGGGATATAATTTCGTGAGTATATTCGCAATATTAGCAGAGTTAGACATGATACTTTGCTAGCTTTCAACGAAAGTAAGCATAATTAACTATTTTCGTTGTTTTTTGTTTTGAGAAAGCGGTCCACAGCAAATCTTATGTTTCATTACCTTAAGTACGGCAAAAAAGTGGCAAATGCGGCGCAATTCAATTTTGAGTTTGTATGAAATGATTGTGCTAACTTCGAGGGCGTGGGGTGGAGGGACTTACTGCGTCCGAAGCCGATCATGGGGCTGAGTCCTTCGAAGAGGTGCGGGATGAACATCATGGCGGCGATGGTGAAGACGCCGCCGGCCGCCAGCGCCCCCACGTTCACGTCCACCAGCGCGCCGCCCTGTGCCTTGTTGCCGCCCACCGGGATGGACAGGAACGGGATGGCGAATGCCAGCTCCACCTGCCACGCGACGTGCCATTCTTCCTCATATCCTCAGGGGCGGATCTATACTCGGATATAGACAGGCTTGCGGGCACATCGTCATCCAATCGGCTCTCCAATACCAAAAAATTAAGTCGTAACGAAGCTCCCGATTGGATGTAGTGTCTCCTTGCCCTAGCGTTCGTGACTTTGAAGTGTTACTCTGTTTAAATCGGAGTATAGGTTTATTTTCACTCGGGGTAAGAAGTCTGGAGAATGGGGTAAATACTTGATTTCAAAAGTAAAGAGATTAAATGTAGTGTCCACCCAATCCAGCGACTGAAGCACATGCTCCGTCTGCGCCCTCCCTCACTTACGTCCCTACTTATTACTTACTACTACTCCTTTCAACATCATTAAAACGCCACATTAATTAATGCATTCTTCATAAGAAACAGAGGACGAGTTAAGGAGGCTGTCAGGTTACTCTCTGGTCTGCTGAAAAGTTGTAATTTTGGAACGTGCTTCTTAGAAAATGAAGAACAAGCAAATTATTTCTATATTTTGCATCAATTGGTAAACGAGTATTTTTTAAATGATGCTTTAAAATGTGTTAATAATTTTACAAATGCAACCTAAGAAGCTAATTTGACTCGAAATACCAGCATGAAATCCTCAACATTCTGAAATAATGTCCCTTTATATATGACAGCAATTCTCTTCAAATTGCAGTTATCTTATAAGTAGAACATATTACGTAAATGCTTTTTTAAAGAATAATATATTTTGCTCGCAATTAACTCCTTCAGAGAACTGATATATTTCAGCATAAACTTGGCAGCGCTTTTTTTCATAGTGGTACCAATAGTTTACGTTGTCGGGGAGGCCTAGTACCTACAGAACAGTTGAAGAACAGTGCGTATGTAGTTTGAGTTGTCCTGAGCTGTTTTTGTACTTCTTATCGAGTCTTATTACCTAAAAGTCATGAGCGAACAGTAAAGATATAAAGGGCGATTTGTTACAAAACGTAAGTTTGGTAACAATAATTAATTTATTTATTATTTAAACAGAATTTTAATAATCTGAGTTCTGACTTTGGTGCCATAGGCTAACTTCATGTTTCATTTTTTTCTTCGTAAAAACAAATCCTAAAAGATCACACCATATTAATAATCACTCGTTTCCCTCACTACTACGTGAGAGTTCCAAGGTAATTTGCAGTACATAAAGTTAAAAAACCTGCATATGAGGTTTGGGTAAAGGGCCAGAAGTCAATAGAGGATCATCTATGTACACCATTAAAACATTAAATCATCATTTATCACAAATTACGTATACGCATGTCAGATCACAAAGCAATGCTCATACACCAGCCTCACTTTCTCAATATTTAAATCCCGCCGAATGGTTCGTCATACAACATTGCCTTTCTTTTTCGTTTTTACGAAAAACTGATGAGAGTATTTATTTTCTTTCCGTGCTCTTGTCGAAACTATTTTTATTCCAATTCTTTTCTCTTTAGGAAGATTTAATCTACATTTATAACATTCCCCCTCATGTAATCTTATGTGGAAGTGTTCCAAATTGAATTGTTTATGGTCGGATGAGATCCTTTTCCTATCCTTAGCATGTAAAAACGCAAGTTTCAAAACGTGTGTTTTTTTTAAACTATGCGGTAGATTTGCTTCATATTTTGGGAAAGCGTGAGCGTATTTTGGGAAGCTCCTTGAGTTATTAAAATGTCGGTCAAAAGTTTGTAAAATCACAAATTTAGAGGTAGAAGGCAAAAAAATATAATCCAATCGATATGTGATGGCTAGTTTTCATTTCAATTAATAAGACCTGCTCAGGAGAATTATAATTAATTATAGAGGATAATAATTAATAAGAAATGCTCAGAAGTACTTTAGGACAGGAAGGATGCTGGCCAAGCTAAACTGAATCACTATTAAAATTTGGACTGTACTCAAGGACTTTTTATTTTGGTTGTGATATTACATCAGGTGTTCCAAACCGGGTGTCTTTGTAAGGTTTATGGGATGTCGCGAACTGACTTAATTCAGCTACAAAGGCGGTTGCCACGTTATGTCAAAAAGAAGATTAGATGTTGAACACCTAACTAGAGCAGTGGTCATAACTCTTCTAATTACTGCGATAAATACAGCACATTCCATAGGCGTTCAAATTATTCATAAACTTTAGGTGTTAAAATACAAACACTCGCGAGCGCCCAGTGGCTGAGCGGGGGCGCAGTCGCCAACGTACCCGGATGGCAGTGTCTTCCTTACTGAAGTGGAAGATGCGACCGTCGCGGCCGCTGCTGTTGCCTGCGTACATGTCGGCGCTGAGCAGGTTGAGCTCCTGGGGCGGCGGTTGGTATGCCTGCACCCCGGCGTCAAGGCCCCACAGAATCGGCAGCGCCGCCGCCGCCGCCACTGCCGCGCACCGAGTCACCATTGCTCTGCTCTCCTGCAGCATCAACAGCAACAGCTGACCGGGTGATCCTAATGTGCGAAATCAGACGGTGGTGGATTCTCTTCGCTGGTGAAGTACGTAGGAGTATTTGACAAAAGGCTAACTTGGAACCCCACATTCGCGCGGTTAGTTGTAAAGCTTTGATTAAAACGTCAAAAGTATATCCTTTATTTAACTCTTGACCTGCAACTAGTATTGAATACTACTGAAGAAATCAATTATTCAACCTACCTTAACCTACGCAGGTCCAGTGGAGAGTGGCGTAGCACCTAGTAACCTAGTTTCATTCCAAAATAAGTTCCTGAGAAAGACCCTTAAGACATCATTCCTAACTCTCAAATTCATCGCAAGTTAAATATTGTTGGCTTAAAAATAGCTGGCAAATTCTATCAAAATCTTTACTCTTCACCCTTTTCCACATTCGTTAATCTGGGGCTACGCTTTGGACATAAGCGTTCGCCGGATGATCGCTTATGGGACTTGAGCCGGCTTAAGGAGACCAAAAAAACGTGGCTGAGAGGATATGTGCTATTGCATTCGGTTACGACGAGCACGGTTTTGAATATAGAATTTCTCCACCTAGGCAAACTAGATGGATCCGAGAGAGGGCAAACTTCTTCGAAGGCTTCGATGAATTTGATTTTTTGGACTCGCTTTAGGCTTTCGCCTTTCGAAGAGATAGACATAACTGGTGTTGGAACAGATCGAAGAAAAACCAGAATTTACATCTGGCAGATATGTAGTTTAGAATAGTGGTAACTACAGAGCGGAGAACTGAAAGATTACACCTTTAATAAACAGTATTTCTCCCGGTATACCATGCAATAGTAAAAAGATAACATTTGTAACCTATGTTACGGTCATGATAGGCTTGTAAGGCAGAACTTTGGGAGACTATTTTATTTCATTTGTCAATGTTTTGAATCATTATCCAATTTTCAGGACTAATTGTACAATTAGCTATTTTGTAATGTAATATGATTATTCTTTTTATAAATAATTAATCTATGACATTCCTTTCAAGAAAACAGTGTTATTGTTGTATCGCGAAACAAAATTAACGCGTATACAAAATTAATAACGATCGTAAAATAATTTGATAGAATAAACAATGACAAAATAAAAAAAATCACACACTACCTGCAAAATATAAGAACTAAACCAATTGATAGTGGTCCATGAAATAGTATAGACAACTTCAAAGCAAGGAGACAACTGTGTCAAAGAACGTGCAGAACGTTGATATGTTTACTTCTTAGCGTTGCCAACATTAGCGGAAGACGCACGAAACCCGCTTAGCTAAGCCGCGCCGCTAGATCGCCTCGAAGGGACTGGTGAAACGCGTTTGACGTAAGCTCTCTTAAATTTAGAACTTAAATTTTGAGCCAGCTTAACAAAGCAGTGCTTAACGAAATATTGGTGAAACCGGCCCTTAGACTTGTGTTTGTATACTTGTGTTTTACATCGTTCTTAGCGCTATATTAACTTGCATCACTAAATTGCAGAACAATCATTGAATTCTGAAATAATTTGCCAATCATGAGCCATCATGCTCATGAGTAGAAATAAAAATTCTTCCCGTATGGATGACCATCTCTAAAACGTTAAAATGTAAAATGTGTTTCTTAATCCCCTCAATAGACAGCAATGTCAAACAAGCAAAAAAATAATATTAACATTTTTTTGTAAACTATACCCCCGTGAAATTCGAACGCCGATTCGTTGAAATATTTTCTTTCGTTTCATGCTAAATATATTCAGAATATTTATTGCATAAGATCCGAACCGACGCAAGTCATCAATTTCCCTGGCCAGGAGTTTCAAATGCTTTAGCGATCTCGGCTATATCGGCTATACATGTTGCAATTAGGAATGAAAACAACTTACCTATATGTTTCACTTATAATGTCTCTGTACATTGAAAAGATACAATTCGCAAAATAATGTCTGAGGTAAGAAAAAAACTTGAAATTGACTGCTCCATTTTCGTACCAATGGGTTCTAATGGGTTAAAATATACGATACGGCCTAGAAATGAGAATGTTAAAAATGAAGACTTACGTAGAAGCACAAAATGTGAATGCCTACGTTAAAATAGAATTGTCTTATCTTTGAACGATGAGATGCACTTTCTTTCCGAGCATTATCCCTGACAAACGATGGGAGGTGGAGTGGGTTGGAAGCGAGGGACTCATGCGGAAACGCCTGCCGTCAGCGCACTATGGCGGATATGTGATGCAATGAAGGCCTGTTAAACTCCATTGTAAGTGTTCCTCGGGCACTTCAGAATACCGGTCGTGACTAGGAAGTGATGGGAGGAGGAAAAGGAACGGTATGACTGATATTACCTAACGGAAGGAAAGAGCAAGAAGCAGAACGCAAGAAAATCTTGCTACATAAAATTTAAACTGACATTGGTCTCTTACTGGGTGCGGAAAGAGAAGTTATGGAAAGAAAGAAATTGCAAAACACAACACAGTGATAAAAAAACGAAAATAAATGAAATATTAATTGGAAAAGAAGGAAATTTCTACAAACGATATCATTTTTCATATAATAGTTCTAAACGCCATGTGTTGTGTTTGTATTATTCACGCCATTGTATTACTAAAACGTATATAAGACGGATTATAAGACGTATATACCACGCTAACCAAAAATGCTTACTTAATACGAATAAATTCTACGTAAAGCACAAATCAAAATATAATAATTCTTTGCAAAAAACTAAGTTGTGGGACCGAATGAAGATGCTTTGTGCAGGTCTACAATAACAAGTCTCTACAACACATGTATGCAAGTCTTCGATGTGCACTACTTTGTGAGACATCGAAGCACGAATATCGAGTCACTGCATTTAAAAGGAGTATTCCAAGGTTTAGAAATGCAGAATTAGGCAAAACTCAACACGAAGTTAGTTCTTAATGCCGAGTTTAAGTATACATGTTCATATCAAATATCTACACAGTTTTGAGAAAAACTGCTAAAAAAATCTGGAGCAAACGGCCAGCCGAGCAAGAGATTTGACTCGCCTAGGGTTTAAATTTTTCAAGTGATTTGACTGTCAAATCGCAGGCGCAAGGCGCAGATTTAGCACTTTGCTAAACACTTTGTTCTTTAAATGCCAGACTTGTTTCATTATTTTTATTTGGTACGTACATCTTGAATGTATTTGAAAAATTTATTTTGATTTTTTTATCTAAAAATCTTTTGGCTTACTTCCAAAATATAAAAATTGAAGTACTTGACAGTAACGGGTTAATATTATACAATTTATAGAATAAAAGTATTAATAACGAGACAAAAATGCAGCAGGCGGGTTTTGAATAGACATTCCGCTTTCCTAACGTGCTTTTGACCAACTGCAGCACCAAGTAATTTGACAGTATCTGCTGAGTTAGATCATTTGCTACACCATACTCTCGCGCGCTATTCTTTTACCAGTATTTTTTCTCCAAATCGCATTGCCATTAAACTCCGATATAACTACTATAAGAACGCATACGAGAACTCTGAAGACTTTCTTCACATAGATTTTCATGTAGTTCCGCATTTCTCAATCATGCCTCGTTGTAAGTAGTTCCAATATGTGTTTTCAAACTCCGTCTTATACCCCATATTCGTCATCAATCTAAACGTAGCAAATGCTCTTATGTATGTCTGAGAACATTTAATTACTTATGAAAAATAAATCGCGCAATAAAACTTCTATCAGTTTAAGGACATTGAATTCTTCAAACTGAATCTCCCAGTGCAGACACCGTCAAAAGAAACATTCGTACCTTTCATGAAAGATGCAAAATTTCAGGAGAAGTAAATAATATTTGTCTGCATAAAACATATTTTAATAAAAAATAAATGTGTTGCAAAAATAGCAACTGAATTAAAATTTTCAGACTATTAGAATGTCTATGGTAAAATAAGTGTAATTTCCTAACATCTAAATCGAGGTAGAAATAATCGTTGTTGGATGCTTTGATAATTTATATTTCTTCATATGGATAATCGTGATGTGCACGGCATTGCCGGGTCGCGCTGTGCCTTATGCTGGAATGCGAGTATTCAGTGGATTTATTAATGACTTCAAAATATACCCGTGCAAAATTTATTTTCACATAGTTTTAAGACTTCAAAACATAGGCAAATTAATAATACTATTCTTCAACAAGTAGACAACCTACAATTCGTTCATGAGCGACTCGATCCCTTCTTCCATATACTGATAAACTATTAGGGATAAACACATAAAAACCTGAGAAAAGTAAATAACGTTCTTAATTGACTGCAGTCACAAACTTTGTATTTATTTTCAATTACCAACAGCATTTAAACTTTGCCGACCTGGATGGTCGAGGTGGCTAGACCGTGTGCCGACTCAGCGTCTAGGTCGGAATGGTCGCGGGTTCGAGATCCACTGTGGGTATGGTTGTTTGTCACTTGTCTTTCATGTATGTGTGTTGTCGCGGAAAGCCTTGAGTCGGCTGACCATAGTCCGAGGAGCCCGCTAGTGAGTCTAGTATAAAAGGTTAGTAAGTGTCCCCATGAGGGGCACATATTAGGGACCCGGCGCGGATCGTCGAAATCGATATACCCTGATGCTGGAAAAAGCCCCAGATAAAAAAGACATTGAGAGTCTGAATTACATCAGTTCATTAACTAGCGTAATCCAATTAAACGACGTGTTACTGAAGTTTTATTTCTAAGTATTTATGAGAATTAATTTGCATCAAAACTATAGTAGCAGAATCTGAAAATTTAATATGCATAAATATAACTGCTCTATTGAGTAGACTAGAGTATCAAACACATGAAACATGAAATGTAATACAATTTATTTTACAATATTGTTTGATAATATATCAATAATATTATATTTTTGCGTTAGCACATTCCAACAACTCGAAATTACCTTTTACCCGTGCATTTTCATGTATTGCATTACTATTGCTAGACGCATGTGCTTCTCTGCAGGGCGAGCGAGCTCCGACCACAGAAGCCTCCTG